ACACAGTATTCCAGGTGAGGCCTGACCAAAGCAGAATAGAGTGGCATCTCAGAGTAAATAATTTTGGATTTAGCAAATCCAGGTGTCTACAAAAAACTGGACAGTGCTCACAGCCTCTTTCTTGCCCTCTTGTTTTAAACCAAATATTTTGTCTCCTGTTAAAAGATCAGATGTGGAGACCACAGTAAGAATGGAGGAGGGATCTCTCCAAATCTCAACTTTAGTTTGGGCCCTGGAACCTCTCAGTAAGACACAAATCACAATGCATTCCATGATACGCTGCATCAGGAGGGATATATTGAGACAGAGCATTTTGATATGGCATGTACTTTCTAGAGAGCCAGCATGGTGTAGACTATGACTCTGGAGACCAGGGTTCAAAGCTCCACTCAGTCATAGAAACCCACTGGGTGAGCTTGGGCAAATTATTCTCTGTCTCAGCCTCGAAACCCCTCTGAACAAACCTTGCCAAGAAACCCCCATGATGGGTTTGCCTTAAGGTTGGCATAAGTCAGAAATGACTAAAAGGTAACCAACAATTATGCTTTCTAGAGAAGCTGCTGCCAGTTGTATCTGTTACTGTTATGTCAGAAATATTAATATACAACTACCTTCCTCTATATATGGCGTATCTGAAATATTACCGATCAAAAATTAAGACTACATTTTGTTTTCAAGCAGAAGTTTTCACTTCATCTTTGTAAATGAGCATCTCTTTGCCAGCATGCTTGCACTGTACAGCAACTGTTATAGGAACTTGTTAAACAACACTTTCTAACTTTTAAACAGGGTAAAAATACTATCCATGCTTCCTTGCTGCCAAGTTAACAAGTTGTCAACAACATTTACTTTGTGATATTCACCTGTACATGTAAAGTATCTTGAAAAGAAGCATAATCAATATGTGGATATCACAAGCAATTAAGTCATTCTAAAATGAGTATCTTTTATTCATCTTTATTCATATCACATTTAAACCTTTATACAAAAGTCCAGTCCAGTCCTCTGAATTTTGCTTTATAGAATACCCCCTCAATCTCCCACTCCCACCCTAAAAAAAAAAAAAAAAAGCCTTGGCAATTGTGCAAGTCCTTCATGATCACCATCACAACATGTATGCAAAGATTTGGATACATACTGAATTACGTGCCTTGCATTTTTGGAGAGAAAAGGAAGTCTTATAAGTTACTTACTGAAGTCTGTGTGTTTAAATTACTGATTACCTAGAAATGCAAAAACATGAACATGAGGAATCCTCAGTAGTCTCTGGAGAGTCAAAATGATCTTTCTCAACCGTCCTTATGAAAGTGCCATATTTCTCTTTCTCTCTCTCTGAAACAAATACAGTTGTCTGAAAAGTTACAGGTGGTTCTCTGAACTTTCTTTAGAAGGCACCATAGCCCACTCACAATCTTGGCTTCCTCAGCAAGGTTTTGCTAAGGTCTTTGACTTCTTCAGGACTGTTGACTCTCTCATAGCCTAAAATGGCCATGGGATGGTGGCAATACTCCTCCACTTGCTTAATCTGCTGAAAGCTCAATGCTGTCCTCCAGGCATTCACAGCTTGGCTAGCATTTCTGGCAGAGACCACAAAGGGTTTGGAGGAGTACCCAGACCCACTGGTCATGTTGAGGGCAAACCTCTCCATCTCTGGGCTCACCACCAGGTTGATAAAGCCATACACCTGCCGCAAAGTCTTGATAGGGTCCACTACCAAATCCTCATAGCGGACAGCCATATAATTATCCTTCAGCCAGTCTGGAGGGTGAAGAGCAGTCTGCAAGGTCTTTGCCATGCTCCCACAGATCACCTCCATGGCCCCCAAGGCATGGTAGTCTGAGCCCCCTCCCCCTTCTTTCTTGCTGTTGAGTTTGTGGCCTGCATCTAGAAAGGGCATGCGATGGATACGGGGATCCCTGCTCCTCACCACCTGTAGGCTTTCACGAATGAGCCCATGGCGGGATTTGATCCTGGAGCTTGCCACAGCTCGAGGGTCCCGGACCAGGTGGATGACTTTGAGAGCCAAAGAGGGGTCTTGCATGAGTGGGGCCAGGACTCCAATGTCGAAGACCCTCACTCCCTTGATGACTAAGGTGTGGTACTTGAAGCATTCCTCCTGGAGGAGGCTGAGCTGCTGCGGCGGGCACTTCTTACACACCTTGTCATCCACCATGCCCACAACTCCCTTGCGGTAGGCCGAGCAAAGCGGCGAAGAGCAGATCACCTTGTTGGTGGCTGCCCCAAAGATGCCCAAGGTGGTGAGGTTCTTGCCAGCACCTGCCGTGCTGTAGAGCTGGAAGACGGAAAGGTCACAGCGGTAGAGGGAACTCAACATGTCCCGGGCGGCCCCTTGCAAGGAAACAGCATCACCCGGGTACAGCTTCTGCCACACATGCCACACTGGCTCATAGAGGAAGAAGACCTCTGGGTTCTGGTTGAAGAGCTCCCCAAAAAAGGATGACCCCGAACGCCAGGTGGTGAAAACATAGACCAGCTGTCTCTTGCGGGTGAGAGGCACTGGGGGACCATAGAGAGCCCGAGTGTCCGACCTGGACTGATAGGCATAGTAAGGCAGCTGGTGCTGCGGGTAGGGAGTGCGCCGGGCAGGCGAGGGCTCACTGCACTGCTGGGGCCCCTTGTGCCACTTGTAGTCCAACAGGTTGAGCATGGTGAGGAGGAGGAGCAGCACGTAGCCCAGGCAGAGCACCAGTGCTTTCCGGCGGAAAACCTTCATCCTGGGCAGCGGGAGACCAGCAGATGCCCAGCGGCCAACTGTTGCACATCACACATTGGGGCTCCAGGGTCCATTGAAGTTTCCCCCGGGGGAAAAGGGCATCCTCTCCTTGCCCCTCCAGGAGGCCAACCTTCCTTCAAGGACCAAGGAAGCTGAGCATGAGGGAGCCACCCCCTCAGGAGTCACCTGAGGGGGAAGAAGGGCTCTTTCTTTGCAGGGTGGAGAAGGCAACCCAGCACCCCTCAATGCCAGTTGAGGAGGAGGAGGAGGAGAGGAAGAGAGGAAGACAAGGAGAGGAGGAGAAGAAGAAACGAAGATGAGGAGAGGAAGAAGAGAGGAGGAGAGGAAGAGAGGAAGACAAGGAGAGGAGGAGAAAAAGAAAGGAAGATGAGGAGAGGAAGAAGAGAGGAGGA